GACGGGCGGCAGGTGGCGGGGCGCCCTCCTCGAGCAACCCGAGACCCACGGGCCACCCGCCCACTACCCGGGCTGGCTCGGGGCTCTGAGCTGGGGCCGCTGAGCTTGGAGGCGGGGCGGGAGGTCGCGGCTGCTCTGGCGGTGCCCGCCAGCCGCGGCGGGGAGGAGTTTCCCCAATTAACACGCTTGGCAACGCCGGGCGAAGGCAGCGAGGTTTGAATGGACTCGGAGTTGGAGGTCGGGGAAAGGGGGCGGGGCTGGGGAGGAGAGCTTGGGGATCCCGCAGGGAGGCACAGAAAGGGCCCGGGGACTGGCCCGTGTCATCGATGGAGCCCTGGGCACTGATAGTTTTTCTGCAGCGCACCCACCCCAGTTGCCTCCCGTGCCGTGTCTTTTCTTAGGGACGCCATTGCAAGGAGGAGAAATGGTTTGCCCAAAGGCGATCTTCCCCAGCGTGGTGCTTGCTTCCCTCAACTCCCCCTGGTGCTTGTAATTGTGGCTTGCTGGGAAGTCCCAACCATGTCCCTTTCTCCTAAAAGGAGAGGCTAGAACATATCAGTAATTAGCAGAAGAGAAATGATTAAGGCCAGAGAGAAGGGTTGAAAGTTAGAAAGCAAGAAACTCTCCGTGGAGTGGAACTGAAACTATTTTCATGTTCCAAACTGAAAATTGCTTATTTTTCTTTGCATGACCCTTTAGAAAGCTAATCTTTTGCCGTGCAATTATTAACTTCAGCACAAATAAGAATTTTGCTTTCTTAATGGAAAAAAAATCACTGATAGAAAATACAGTTTCAACTACGATTATTCGTAGAACCACGACAGTTTCTTTAATACGGACTGCTCTCACGTGCTATCCGTCCAACCAGGCTACCAGGATGATTATGACAGGCGCTATGCCTGCTTCCAGGAATCCATCAGTACTGGGCCTGTGGGTTGTTGACTCTCCTTCAGAGAAGAAGGGGTCTAAGATGCCATTGGACCCTCACCTGGTTTCCAGCCATTCTTCCCAGCCATTTGTATGCATTTGGCCTCACTGTCAATAGCCTGCATGGGGTTGGGGTGCTAGAATATACTGGCTTGGGGACGGTGGGGCAAGGAGGTAAGGAATCAATTAACCGTGTTAAGTGAAGATTTTGCAGTTTGATTGTTTCGTGTTCACATGAGATCCCATCAGTGACCAATAAAGTCCAGCTCCAAAAGGTAAACTGTGTAGGGGTGAACTGAGGTTGGTTGTTAGGGTCCAGGAGGAGGGTGTGGACAGGGAGCATATTTCCAGAGAAAAGGGATTTTAGCCACCCTGACAAATAAATCTTTTCATAAAACAGAGAGAGAAGCAGGTTGCAGCTCTTGGGAATTCCCTCCCTGATCTCTGAATTCACAAACGGGGAGTGCGAACCAGCAGGAGGCTGGAGACTGTAGTTGGTGACAGTCTTGTTTTTAGCTAAGCACAAAGCTGCCTTGATTAACATGAGGTCATTGACAACTACCTACCTGGATGGGGACTTGGGCTCACCCTGCTCAGCCCAACCAGGCCTGTTTCTAGAATCGTTCTTTGCCCACACTTATGTAAGTACAAAGGTCTGTGTTCTCTGGAGATTCCTACCAGCCAGCTCCTGGCTCACTTCTTCAACCTTCTGCAAAACTCCTCCTTCATCTCCAATTTCTGCACCGGACACTGAAATGCTTCAAAAACCACTCAAAGAATGGTGCGCTATTATCTTGAGTCTCTTTACCAGTGTAGTCATGCCGCGGTTTCCTCTCTGGAAACTGGTTCCCTGGGTCCCTGGGAATGCTAAGTCTGTCATAGAAAATGCATTAAAAATTTTCATAGGCCTCCCATATGGTTTAAGTCAGCTCTAGACTATTTGCGATGCCTACTGTATACAAATGCTATGTAAATAGCTGTTGTAATTACTTAGGGAATAAGCTAAATGCCTTTTTGGTACAGATACACTTTTTTAAGACAATATTTTCCATTCAAGTTTATTTGAACCCAAGGATACAGAATCCACACATACAGGAGGACCACCTGCATGCCATCTCAGTGATTTTTTTTTAAATATTCTACAAGAAAATTAAAAGGAAATGTAACCGTCCTTCCACGCTTTCATTTCTGGCACAGTTACAGGAACCCAGGAGAAAACAACGCCAGGCATGGTTCCACGGGAGCTGAGAGTCGCTGGGATTGAGTCATTCGAGTTCTCTACATAGTTCCACTGCACGGGTGGAAGAAAGTCCCAGGAGGTTAACTAGTTGTCCTTAGTCACTGTGTCCACTGTGCCCATGAGCAGGAAGCTGGGCAGACACTCACTGCTTCTTCCTGCAAAGCTGTATTCTTGCCGTATTTCTTTCTATTTTCAGAACATGACTATAATCTATGTTACAATACAGACAGACAGGCACTTGGCTACTTTTGTAAGGCGTCAGCATAAGGAGAAGTGTCCTGGGATTACATGTGTCTTTATTTATTGCAACCTGTCAGAATAGAAGGCATGAGACCTTTGTACAGCACCATGCTGGCGGAGTTTATTCTTCCCTCGCCTGCACAGGTTTGATGTGCTATTATTATGAATGAGTGCGACCCGACCTCTTCTGAAGTTTGGAGTGCTTTGCTCCACTTACGGGACACAATGGGCAAGCTCAACAGAGCTGAATATTTTACTTTAGAAAGCCTTGTGGTACAGCCTAGGAAAAATACTTTATGCTAAATGAGTCAGGAGGAATGACATATTCAAAGCAAGCTCTCTGAGCATAAGTATGAAAGCAAAATGCAAGGTCAAGAATCTTCAAAGCACCAGCTGTTAGCCTTTGAATTTTTTTCCCTCTCCCTTGCCTAAGCTGACCAGGCTGGGGTGCTTTGCAGAGCATGCGCAGTGCATACATACCCTCCTTGCTGGTTGGCCTTTTCTTCTTCAACCCCTGAGAAACTAACCAGCTCCATTTGGGTGAGCAGAATTCACTTTCCCTTCCTAAGCAGGGAAAGAAGAAAAATAAATAGCAAAACATTAAACTCTGCGGGGGCGGGGGAGGGGGGGAGAGGCGCTTCATCCTAAGACACAAGGCTTGAGAGTCGATCTGCAAAACTCAAAACTCACGAACAGACAGTGCACGCACCCAGGCATCAGTGCTGTATCGGGGAAGACCTGGCTGGGTTGGGCAGCTCCTGAGCCTAGCTATAGCTCCTCTCCGCAGGAGGTGGGAAGCATGAGAGGTGGAAGCTAGCTGCCTGAGCTTGGAGATCCTCTTGTGGCTTCTTGGAGAAATACCTCTCAGGATTCCCTCTGCAGCTTCCAGTGCCAGGGAGCAAAGCCAGCCTGACATTCCAGGTACCTAGACCATCATCAGATCGCCATTGCGCTGTGGCTTTCTGGGGCTTTCGTTTTAAACAAAACCTGCCTTGCTCGACACATAAACTTCTAAATTGTATTGTCATGTTTTATACTTTATGAACAAATGTCCCACTCGATCAAAAATTACTAGTGAGGATAAGATTCATATGAGAAAATGCACAAATCTTTATAGCATGTACTTGTTGCCTTTTAACACATACTTCTACAATAGGTACGCAAGTCCCATCTGTTCACCATCGACATGATACTACATCCCAGTGACCACAGTCTGTAGGAGTCAGCCATGATAAGCTAAATATGAACTGATCATCCAAAAACAGTTCTTAACATCCAACTGTTATCACCTGCCAGAGTAGTTTACCCTGAAGCACTACCTGGTTGCAGAATGAACCACAAACTGAGATTACCCAAGCACCACCCAAGAACAGACCATCCAAAGGAAATGCCTAAAGATCCAAATGCTGTAGATAGGATCACCTGCCAGCACACATTCACCAGGACACCCCTAGACAAATGTCAGCCAATCAGGGGTCCTGAACCTCAGAAACCCCTCACCCCCACCTTTACTACTATAAAAACCCAACTCTCCGTTTCTTCCAATACATTGGACATGCAGAGAGACCAAGTTGGCAAACTTGCATAAAATGAAAGCTCTTTGCTTTTTGCATACGGGACTCGGTTTCCTTGTTGGCTTTTGGCGGACTTCGCAAATTTGGGCATAACAGGCTCCAAAGACTAACCAACATTCAATCCTTTACAAGGGACTGGTGTGCCTGCTTTTACATGTGACATTAAACAACCAGGAAACATGTTCCAAACAACCCACAACTTAGTACCTTGTGAGCTGTGCCCATGCTGCGAAGTCAACACTCAGTCGTTTTATCTCTATGCATAGTACTAGCTGACTATGAGAGTACTCAGCCTTTTATTTACTAGTATGAAGGACATTCCTGTGTCTGTCCTCTAGGGCAAAGAAGTGCTCATTTCTCTGGTTATTTACTCAAACAGAATCTCCAGGTCAAAAGAAAGGCATTTGTTAGCTGGTAATAATAATAATAAATAACAACAGAAATGTATAATGTAGTGTGTCCCTGGACCATCACTTTATGTCAGAAAAAGATTACCTTAAGAAAGGTAACCTTGCTGTTGTGTGTGTGTGTGTGTAATTTCTCTT